CTTTCCCTGCTCCCTGGGCTTCCCAGTCCCCTGGTAGGTGCTGGATTGGTTTAGCTTTTTAGTGCCTTTCGAGGGTTTATTGCTTTAACTGTTTACATGAGTAGTGCTCAACCTCTTGGCCCCCACCGGCTAGATGAGTAGTATGGGGCCACCCATTCCAGGATTGGGCCCTGCACCACCTCCATCTGGCCATTGCTTCTTCCTTGCCAAAATTTTGGACCTGTGGGGAGCCCCTGGGCGGGGGGTTGAGCACCCCTGGTTTACCTAACTTCTGCCAAAGGAACAGGCTATATGGCAAACTGTGCCTGTGGGCATTTGATCTGGTGTTTGCCATCATCAGCACTTTCAAACTCCTTGCAAGTGCTGGGATATCAACCCTGGCTGGAAGCAGGGCAGGAATGAAGTCAGGAGTTCCAGCCCTTCCAGCCTTGCCTAAGGCAAACCCCCTTTGGCTGCTCTACCCCAGGAGATGGGGCAAGTGGGGTCCTGTTCTCACACATGAGGAAGCAACTCGGTTCTCTCCTGCTAACAACACCTAGCCCCTTCCACCACCTCCCTAACCCAAAGACATGGGCTGGGGTGGAGGACAAGACATTGAGGGGGTGCCAGATAGATTGAAGAGGGCAAGATTGATGCAGAGACTAGGGAAGCAAGGTTGACTTGGAGGATATAGAAGCAGGATTACAGTACAACCTTATTATAATAAGGCTACAGGGAGCTGGGGGGAAAAAGGTGCTGATAGGCTTAGTCCATTTGCTTCATTATAATTATGCTGATAAGATACCTGATTTGCATGGACCATCAGAACAGTAGTTAATACAGCATGTTAATTTAATAAGTTTCCTTTTCTTTTACTCGGTTCTTAAAAAGCAAACAGTTTAAGATCATACCAGAGATGAAAACATAAACCTACGTGCTGAACTCAGTACAATAATTGTGCATTTCCTATCCTGGAAAAATTACCTGGCATAGACTGAAAAAAAAGCTAGAAAAACGTGAAGCAATGAATTCCACTTTAATCCAGTGCAAACATGGCCTCAATTCCAAGGAACGACTGTATAGTTACACGCAGGGCGCAGACAGGAATTACTTTTTTTTTTTGCAATCTGTCCCCTAAAAGGGCTCCACAGTCATGAATTAACATGTGTGCGCGGCTTCAGGGTGCTTTTAAAATGTCTGATCACGTAAAAAAGTGTACAGTAGTGTACAGCCTGTACTGCACAGGCCCCTGGCACAGTGGCAGGGCACTGGGGTTATTGCTCTTGTTAAATCAGGTATTAGATTAAGGTGCTCTGCTTTAGAGCAAGCAAGGGAGCTCTGTTCCCCCTGTTCCCCGCCCCACCCAAGCTCAGGCCAGGCAAGCCTGCAGCTCTATGGGGCTTGCTTCCCCTTCCCCTTTCCCCTCCCTGCTGACAGCCTCAGGTCTGGGAAAAGGGGCCGTTCAGGAGCCTTCTTGGAGGCTGCTGGAGCACCCCGACCTGCTGGCCTGGGCTCATACAGGCAGGCTCAATTCCTTCCCACCCCCCCACAAGTAAATGCCTGGGGGGGGACATCCATAGGTACCCACAGGTGCCACCTCCTGTCTGAAAACAGCCTGTGAAGGATTGACAGATTGTGAGCAATCCATGTGATTTTGTCATCATTTTCATCAGACACCCGCCTCATTTCCTCCCTAGCTTGTGTGCTCTTGCATCTGTTCTCTCATTTTTGCTTGTGTAGGTGCTTCATTTTCTTCAAATTGCATTTCCTCTAGTTTTGCTTCAGGAATTCCCAGCTGAGCATGTTCCTCTGGAACCGACACCATCTTGTTTCCTCTACTTCAGCATTTCCTTTTTGGCAGTCATCAACTAGATTTTTCCTCTGCTGATCCAGCCGATGGTCTTGGATAGCCCATATTCTTTGCACACTGTGGCTTGTTGACTTCCTTTTACATTGCAGGTTATTTGTGATTTGAAGCTTGGTTTTGAGAGACAGATGCTCGTTCAGTTGTTAGCTTCATAAACATCTCCTGGATAGCAGCCACTTTCTCCTGCTGACGGATTGGGTGCATTGATCACGTGGCTTGTGCAGCATTTGGTTATTATCTGTAATGTGAATGGGCCAACCGTGACCTGTTTTCACTGAAAGAGCATCATTGAAAGGGACACATTCAGCAGCAATACTACAATTACTGTACTCAGGGAAAAAGATTATTCTAACTGAGCTAATTTCTTTGTTAAAAAATGGCTCCAGCAATTTGGATAATTAAAAGTTATGCGTTTTTTTTTAAAGAGGATTTGCTATAATGAGGTCGTACTGTAATTTCTGTGACCGGGACAGATTGCTTTGGGGAGGTGGACATGTTTCTCAGTATATTTGGGAGTGTGAGTGACAATTAGCATTGCTCATATACACAAGATCTGAGCATTCACAAAATCACAAGGCAGATAGTGTTGGGCTGGATATAAACCTAAATGGTAATATATTTTCTCTATAGAAATAACTTGTGATTTAGGGGCCAGTGTCAGGGTTTGGGGAGTCTAGGGGGCTAGATTCCCAGAAACTGACTTGATTTGATTTGATTTTTTTTTGGCTATTAATGTTGCAAGATGGAGCAGGATGGGAGCCAGTGCCTCCTAGACAAGAAGGGCCTACATCCTAGCCCCCTATTCCTGAGCTGGTCAGTGCTCCTACCTTGTAGATAAATTGGAGCTGTAGCCCCTGGAGGGGAAAGGCCCCATCCTCCATTCCCCAGCCACAGAGGCAGCTACTCCTCCAAGGAAAGCACTGTTTGTTGGGCACCTGTGATTGTGTCCAAAGCACATCTTTCTCCAGTTGCTCACAGGGCCTGAACCAGCATGTTGTGTTTTCCCCATCATCCCATACATGACGGGAATGTAGGTAGGAACTCCATGACTCCCTTCTTTCACTGCTGTTCCCAGGTCTCCAAGAAACTGGTGAACTCTGTGCCAGGCTGTGCGGATGATGCGCTGGCAGGGCTGGTGGCCTGTAACCCAGCCATACAGCTCCTGCAGGGGCATCGGGTGGCACTGCGATCTGACCTGGAGAATGTCCGAGGCCGAGTGGCACTGCTTTCTGGAGGGGGGTCAGGACATGAGCCCGCACATGCAGGTACATGTTGATGGGATGGGATGGACCAGGTTGGGGTTGTGCCTGGGAGGCCACAGGACTGTTTAAGTGTGGGGCCTAGAGTTCTGTCTTTGGGAATGCTGATTTGCCATAGTCCCAGGAGAGTGGGGAGGGGATTGGGAACCCTGTTTGACACTGGCAGGGTGCCTGCTGAGAGTCGCCTTGCTCTAGCCATGATGGAAAGCAGGGCAGAGCAAAAGTAGTGCATACTGAGAGGGAGGTACTCTTAGCCCAGCCCAGCTTCTGACAGGACTTTGTCTTCACAGGGTACATCGGGAAGGGAATGCTCACTGGTGTGGTGGCTGGTGCAGTCTTCACCTCCCCTGCAGTGGGCAGCATATTGGCAGCAATCCGGGCAGTGACGCAGGCTGGTTCAGGTACTCGGCATGGCACTGAGTGGGATGGGGTTCCCTTCCTCCAGAGAATGGCAGAAAGTAGCTGCAGACTTTCACCTCCCTCTGGATGCAGGCACATGACTGGATTGGTTTACCCTGAATTTTTTTCTAGGGGAAGGAAAGGATTTGCCAGTTCTACTGCAAGCAGTCAGCTTGGGGGGTGTTGTTACAGGGCATGACCACTAGGTGGTAAGATAGCCGGTTTGCACTTATCAAAGGGCTACTGGGGGATAGAACTGATCAGGGGAGCAAACCCACAGCTGGTTATGCCTGCATAGCTTACACCAGTGTGTAAGTGGTCATTTTACCTTGAGGCAGGGTAATTTGCACCACTGTAAGACTGCATCCTTTCCACTTGTCTCTCACAGCCGGGACCCTGCTGATTGTGAAGAACTACACTGGAGACCGGCTGAATTTTGGGCTGGCCCTGGAGCAGGCACGGGCGGAGGGAGCTGATGTGCAGATGGTGGTGATTGGTGATGACAGTGCTTTCACCACACTGAAGAAGGCTGGGAGGAGAGGCCTGTGTGGCACTGTGCTCATCCACAAGGTGAGTAGAGAAATAACCCCAGTGCCCTGCCACTGTGCCAGGGGCCTGTGCAGTGTGATGCTCCTACATTAGGACAGTTGGGCTGCAACCCCACACTGATTTCCTGTGGCAGTGCCCACTGTAGATCAAACCTACTTTGCCCCCAGTTTCAAGTGTGGCTCAGGCTGTGGGGGTCCCATCCACAGGAGAACCTCCAAAGGCTAATCCTCTAGTGATCTGATGAGGAGCGCCTGCCTGAGGGAGGTAGTCGTACTCATCTCAGGCTCGTGGGCACTGCCAAGGATTGTCAGCTGGGGAGGGAGCCAGGGCCCTTTGGTTAGGAGGTATTGTCAGGTCAGCTGTTAGCTCCATGTCCCTGTATCCCAGGGGCAGGCAATTATTTTGGGTGGTGGGCCACTTACCGAATTTTGGCAAGCTGTTGAGGGCCGCATGGGTAGCCCTGCCCCCTGGTCACCATCTTGGGAACGGGAGTCCCACCCCCTAACCTTTGCTGCCAGAAGTCCCTCCCCTTGGCCCCAGAAGTACTCCTTTCATCAAGGGGTTTTGCCATCTCAGAACCAGAAAAAAATTATATTCTAAAAAGCAAACATCTAAAACATTCATTAATTCGATTTCAGAAAATATTTTTTGTCCTGATTTACATGTGTTTGTGTAGTGTGCATAGAGGTGAATGCACAATAGGTTAAAAATGAAGTCTTATTCTTGTTTATTCTGGGGGGCATTAGGGGTGCATATAAGTTTGTGGAGGGCTGTGGATGTGTCTGTGGGGGGGATAGGTGTGGGTGTGGGGTGAGGGAGCATGTGGGTATGTGTAGATATGTGGGGTGGGGTTTGTGGGAGGCTGTATGTGGGTGGAGGGTGGCTGGGGTGAGTGTGGGGGTCTGCGTGTATGGCAGTGCAAGGGGGTGGTAGGTGCATGTTTATGGTGGGTTGTCCATGTGGAACTCAACCTACAAACACACACACACACACACACACACACACTTTTCCTCTCCCTCCCTCATTGCACATGCACACACACTGTGCGCTTCCCTTACTACACACACACACACACACACACACACACACTGCTTCCCTCACTGCACACACACTGTGTGCTTCCCTCATTGCTCTCTCTGTCTCTCTCCTCCTTCCTCATTGCACAGACACACATACAAACACAGATGCACACACTGTCTCTCCCACCCTCATTGCACGGACACACACCCCTCCTTATCCTTCCCCGGGGTACCTACCTGGTCCCTGTGCTCCCACGGTCCAGCGATGCAGCCGGGGGCCACATGGTGCTAGTTCAGCCGCTGCAGGCAAAACAGCTGCAGGCAGAGGCTTCGGGGGCGGGGGGGGAGAATAGGAAGGAGCTGCAGGTGGGGCGGGACGGGGCTGGCCTTTCTCCTGACTCCTGCCGGCTTTCCCTGGGTCCTACTGTTCTTGCCTCCTGTCTTTGACAGGCAGCCCAGAACAGATAAATATTAATTTTCTAAACTTTTTAGGTGCTGCACGGGCCAGATAGAATAGCCTGGTGGGCTGTATTTTGCTTACCCCTGCTGTATCCTATCCCTACCACGATGGTTGAGCTGTGACCTGCCCCGTCACCACTCCCCTCTCTGCTCATCCACTGCAGACAGGCTGATTCATTTCATTTGTGTGTCTAGACAGCAGCATGAGGGCCTATCAGTAACCTGGGGCTGTGATGTTGCCATGAGGCAGGGTCTGAATTCAGTCCCAGAGCAGCTCTCAGTAGCATCTAGAGGCAATGGAGATCAAAGCCTTACTGGGCTGGACACAGAGCAAAAGACTGTTTCTTTCCCTGGTGAAGAGAGGAATTGAAATAGACCAGACAGATAAACAGTATTGATGCCCTCATTGGACAGAATATCAAGACCCAGTGAGATGAAGTGGTCTCGCTGGGGAGCGGGCGAGCAGCCGACAATATCAAAACAGTCCTTAATGGGTTAGGGACTATTTAGAAAAGCTGAACGTGTACAAGTCCATGGGGACGGATGTGATGCAGCTGAGGAGTTGGCCTATGGGATTGCAGAGCTGCTGGCCATTATCTTTGGAAACCTGTGGTGATTGGAAGAGTTCCTGGATGATTAGTAAAGGGCAAATATAGTGCCCATCTTTAAAAAAGGGAAGAAAGAGGATTTGGGGGACTACAGACCAGTCAGCCTCACCTCACTCCCTGGAAAAATCATGGAGTAGGTCCTCAAGGAATCCATTTCTAAGAACTTGGAGGAGAAGGTGGTGATTAGGGAAAGTCAGCATGGACTCACCGTGGGCAAGTCATGCCTGACCAACCTGATTGTCTTCTATGATGAGATGACTGGCTTTGTGGATGTGGGAAGAGCATTGGACATGATATACTTTGACTTTAGGAAAGCTTTTGATACTATCTTACACAACACTCGTACTAACAAGCTAAGGAAGTACAGGTTGGATGAATAGACTGTAAGGTAGATAGAAAACTGGCTGAATCATCAGGCTCATAGGGTAGTAGGCAATGGCTCGATGTCTAGTCGGCAGTTGGTATCAAGTGGAGTCCCCAGGGTTCAGTCCTGGGGCTGCTTTTGTTCAGTATCTTCATCAGCAACCTGGGAGATGGGATGCAGTGCATCATCAGCAAGTTTGTGGATGATACCAAGCCTGGTGGGGAGTAGTGGATACACAGGGGGGTAAGGCTAGAATTGAGAGAGGTCTAGACAAATTGGAGGATTGGACCAAAAGAAATTTCATGAGGTTCAGTAAGGACAAGTGCAAAGAACAAACCCATGTGCTGGTGCAGGTGGGGGACTAACTGGCTAAACAGCAGCTCTGCAGAAAAGGACCTGAGGTTATAAGCTATATGAAGCAACAGTGTGCTCTTGTTGCCAATAAAGTTCACAGCATACTGGGCTGCGTTTGTAGGAGCACTGCCAGCAGATCGAGGGAAGAGATTCTTCCCCTTTATTTGGCACTGGTGAGGCTACACCTGGAGTACTGTGTCCAGTTTTGGGCCCCCCACTGTAGTAAGGATGTAGACAAATTGGAGAGTGTCCAATGGAGGGCAACAAAAATGGTTAGAGGGGTGGGAAACAGTTTACCAATGCCTCAATCATAATAAAATGAATTCTAAATACCTATATATTTTGGCGTTTGATTTTGGTGTTTTATCATAGAAAATTAGAGCTCCCCGTGCCCCCTTCGCTCACCAGGACATAGGTCCAGTTGCAGCTGTCTCCCCTGCTGCTTTGTAGTGCTGAGCAGCCCTGAAATGCCAGTGCCCTGCCCATGCCATTGCTTCTTGCTCCCAAACTATAGCCCCCCTAGCCCTGCCAGTGCCCCTCACTCCCAACCCACAGTTGTCCCTCCCACTAGCCCTGCTGGTGCCCCTCACTCCCAACCCACTGTTCCCAAGCCCCAGCTCCCCAGTGTGTGAGGAAGAGGTAGGTTTGTGCAGTGTGGGCATAGGTGACGCGTGGTGGGGGGTCACAGGTGACAGGGCAGGAGGGCTTATGCCCCACTAGGTTTCTGCTCCTATAGTGGGATGCGGATCTGCAAGAAGGCTGGACCAGCTCCAGGCAGGAACCACTTCTGCAGCCCAGCAGGCAGGACCTGGCACAGGAGGGAGCACTGCACTGCCACGGGCACCAAGGTGAGGTGCAACAGTGGGGGTGCAGAGTTGTGCCCCGCACTGCTGTCAGGCAGGCAGGGAGCTCCTCACGTAGGTGGCCACGGCAGCATGGTGCTTCTTTCTCCACCGGGTCATGCCTGCTGGGTTGTGGAGGCAGCTTCTCCCTGGAGCTGGTCTGCCCAAGCAGTAGCCCCGCGCCCCACTGTTGGCACAGAAATTTGGAGGGGGCACGTGCCCCCCCCGAATGCATCAACTGTCCCTCCGTCACTCCCCCACATGTTGCCCGTGTCCCCCCCTTCTCTCCCCCATAGACTTACCTGGAGGGAATTGCTCTCCACCGCACTGCCTGGCTGCCATGTGAAAGTATGCATGCACACATACACATAGTGCACCCTAGGTCCCGCTCTCTACAGTTTCTTGCTGGAACTCTGCCAGCCTGAAAAGGGAACCCTGTCGGGTTTTGTCCTTTAAAGGAGAAAATCCGTGTTTTGCCACATGTTTCCATGGCAAACCAAAAACCCAGATTCCTGTTTATAAGAAAAGGCTGAGGGAACTGTGCTTATTTAATCTGAAGCAGAGAAGACTGAGGTGGGATTTAATAGCAGCCTTCAACTACCTGAAGCGGGGTTTGAAAGAGGATGGAGTAGGACATGGGGCAGGCAATTGTTTCAGGTGGAGGGCCGCTTACTCTCTTTTACCAAGCTGTGGAGCGCTACATGGGTAGCCCCACCCCCTGATGGGTGCCCCACCCCCTGGTCCATCTTGAGACCAGAAGTCCCACCCCCTAACCCCCGACCTTTGCCACCAGAAGTCTCTCCCCTTGCTGTCCCTTTCAGCAAGAGATTTTGCCATCTCAGAACCAGAAAAATGCCAAATTATAGTCTAAAAATCAACCATCTACAACATTCATTAATTTCAAAAAATATTTTTGTCCTGATTTGCATGTGTTTGTGTAGTGCATGTAGAGGTGATCGTGCGGTAGCTTAAAGTGAAGTCTTGTAGCTTAAAATGAAGTCTTGTGTATATTGTGAGGGGATAGGGGGATTGGGGGGTGAGTATAGATTTGTGAGGGGCTGTGGGTATGTGGGGTGTGGGGGTGTGGAGTGAGGGAGCATGTGGGTGGGTGTGGGGGATGTGTGTGGAGGGAGGGTGTGGGAGTCTGCATGTATGGCAGTGTGAGGGGGGTGTGGGTGCATGTGTATGGCAGTGCGAGGGGGACTTGCCCGATGAATGCTCTCTTTCTCTCTCTCTCTCTCTCCCTCTCCCTCTCTGCACACACACACACAACACACACACTCTCTCTTTCTCTCTCTGTGTCCCTCCCTCATTGCTCTCTCTGTCTCTCTCCTCCCCTCATTGCATGCACACACACACACACACACACACACACACCCCCTCCCGTTTCTGGTACTGTCGTAAGCCCCGTGCTTCCATGGCCCGGCGATGCAGCTCGGGACCATATGGTGCTGGAAGCCGGCAGGCATGTAGGGAAGCAGTGAAATCCGGGGCAGGTAGAGGCTTCCGGTTGTGGGAGGGGGCTTGGGGCTGGGCCAGCCTTGTTCCTGGCTCCTGCCGGCTCCCCTGGGTCTTACTGCCCTGGCTCCTGTCATCTTTGACAGGTAGCCAGAAGCAGATAAATATTAATTTTCTAAATTTTTTAGGGGCCCCCGGGCCAGATAGAATGGCCTGGTGGGCCAGATTTGGCCCACAGGCTGTGTTTTGTCCGCCCCTGAGCAAGACTGTTCTCAGTGGTGGACGGTGATAGAATGAGGAGCAATGGTGTCAAGTTGCAGTAAGGGAAGTTTAGGTTAAATACTAGGAAAAGCTTTCTCACCAGGAGGGCAGTAAAGCACTACAACAGGCTACCCAGAGAGTTTGTGGCATCTCCATTCTTGGAGGTTTTTAAGACCCAGCTAGACAAAGCCTTGGCTGGGATAATCTAGTTTTGAGCTGGGGGTTGGACTAGATGACTTCCTGAGGTCCTTTCCAACCCTCATTTTCTATCATTCTGTGACCCAGGGAGCCTATGACAGATTAAGAATGACAACCCAGATCTCTTGGGTCTCCTGAGTGCTGTGCCCTTCAAGTGGACCTTAGATTGGCCCTTCTCTTTGTATATAGAGCTTGGCACATAGGGCTCAGTTCAGGCCTTGGGGCCAGAAGTCATCAGACTGCACTGCTGTTGCCTGTTGAGCGCTACCCCAGACATGGGTCTACCCAATGGGCTCTAAGCCAGCAGGGGAGAGTAGGATGGCACCCCAAACTAGAACTTGAGATATGGCACTGACCTGGTGGCATTTACATTTGCAGGTGGCTGGGGCATTGGCAGAGGCAGGTGCCAGCTTGGATGAGATCGTCAGCAGGGTGACAGCTGCTGCGAGAGCCATGGGTGTGTGCATGGGCCCTGTTTCTTTGGCACAGGCTAAAGGGGGCCCCCCCCCCCCCCATGACATCCCAAGAGCCACCTGATGGGGGTAAGGGGCATATGGCAGGGATATACCAGCCCCCTGGCATGAACAATTTCCTGTGTGGATCAGCAGGTTGGTCAGGAGATGCTGTTCTCAAACTTCAGTGGTGCCCCTGGCTTACACAGCACTACTCCATGGGTTGGCAGGATGGCTGGCAGCACCAGGCTCTGGCAGGGCACTTCTGCCTGCTGTCTTCTGGAGGAGATGTGAAGAATTGAGAAGTGGGGATGATTGGTGCACTGGAAACCACAGCTCTCACTGAAGCCTAAGGTGGTTGCAGCAGGACAAGCCTCGAACAGCTGCTCCCCATCTTGCCTTTGTGCCTACCTCTGGGCATCCAAAGACCTGGGGGGTCAGGTGCTGTATCCTACCTCATACAGCCTTTGATCTCGGGCCGCCTCAAGTGCCAGCTTGGGATGGGCTTTATCATGGGGACCCACACAAAGATTATCATGCTTGTTTCACTACAGACAGTCCAGGGTGCAAACAACCTGCCTGGATATGGTTCCCCCCAGAAGGAAAAGGCTATGTACCCCATTCCATACCCTGCTATGTCTCTGGTCTCAGCAGCTGCTTAGAGCAGGGTGAGCTCCTAGGGCCCATTCTGCTCTAGTTCCTGTAGCCTGGTTACCACCCCTGCCCAAAAGGAGGACATAATTCTTTCACTCCCTTCATACAGGCACTTTGGGCGTGAGCCTGTCCCCCTGCAGTGTTCCTGGTTCCCAGCCTACCTTTCAACTGGCACCTGATGAGCTGGAGCTGGGCCTGGGTAAGGAGATGCCTCTGCAGACAGAAGTCTTGTCTGTCTGTCTCTTTCTGTCTGTCACCTATAGAAAGGCTCATTTGGAGTCTGACTTGAGTTTGGCATGTGCCTTTCTGCCTTTATCTCCCTTCAGCCCACCTGCTTTTGGGGTTGAGGGCTGGGTTCCTTCTACCAGAAGGCATCTGGACGCCCCTCATCCACACAGCTGAGGTAGTCATGTCTCTGGCACCAAACAATCTTTAAGTCCTGCTAGCTGCCAGCCTGGACAGCTCTGAAACATGCAGCTGCTGTGTGTAGGGCTCCAGTATTGCTAAGCCCTACTGCTACTCATGGAGCCCAGATAATGCCTCCCAACCCAGCAGCTTTACCCTTGTTCCCATGGTGCTGACTCAGTGTCTGGCGGAGGGGTGGGAGGGGGGGTGGTCAGGCAGTTGATCCATGGATTTGCTGATGGCTTCTTTTCTCTGCAGGGATTCATGGTGAGGCGGGTGTGCGCAGGATGAAGGTAGGTGGCTCTCCCCTTCTGCCTGCCCATGAGGACATGTCTGTCCAGCTCATGTCTGCCCCCTCCCCTCTGACAGGTGGCATCGGCTGATGAGATTGTGGAGATAATGCTTAATCACATGACAAACCCTTCCAATGCTTCCCATGTGCCTTTGGACTCTGGTTAGTAACCACATGCCTCCACAACCCATTCCCCCCACCACGCCTCACCCTCAGCCTCCAGTCTGGGCGTCCCTTCCTCAAGATGGGACTCTGGTGTCTCACCCCTCTCCTCCTCTCCTCTGCCACTCAGGTGTCTCTGTGGTCCTCGTGGTAAATAACCTGGGTGGCCTGTCCTGTCTGGAGCTAGGTGTGGTGGCCGGCTCAGCTGTGCACTGTCTGGGTGAGTGCCATGCCAAACCCCAAGCAGGGAACACAGTGGGATGGATCAGGGAGCTGAATGGACAGGGATGGGCAAGGGACTGCCGGGAGACTTAAGGTCTCCAATGATTCTCAATGGGGTGGTAGAGCCTGGACACAGTTCTCTTCCATACACATCTGAGATCAACCCACCCTCACTAACCCGCCTTTCTCCCCAACCCTGGGTCTCTGGATCAACCTCCTAACCCCTTCCATGACTTGCCCTGTCCTGGGCTGACCTTCACCCATTGCCCCTGAGTGGTCTTAGTTTCTCCTCTGCTTCCTGCCCCCCTCATGGTCTCCCCTCAATCCCATGCTGCAGAAAGCAGAGGTGTTCGAATTGCCCGAGCCCTGGTTGGCTCCTTCATGACCGCACTGGAGATGGCTGGCGTCTCCCTCACCCTACTGCTGGTGGATGACAAGCTCTTGAGACTGATTGGTGAGTCTCTGGGACCTCAATTTCCCCTGGCCTTGAGGCGGAGGAAAGGGCTGGACTTGGGTACCTGTGGGGAGGGACTCCCTGGCACTGACTTTGCCTTGGATAAAGTGAGGTTTCCACTGGCCTCAGGGCTGATTGGAGAGGAGCAAAGGATCCATTTTCACCCCATGAGCTGGCCCACAGGAATTGGAAGATGGCCTTTAGGTTGGGAAACAAAGAGCCAGAGGGTGCTTCTCAGTGGCACCTCACTGGCAAGGTGGCTTCTTCCACATGGTGCTTTGTCCCCTCTAGACCCTGCTCTTGTTGCCTGTTGTGGTGGGATACCTGGGGAGTTGGTTGTCTACCTGGAGCTGGTCCAGCAAAAGGCAGACAGTGGCAGGGGGAAGACCTGCAGCTCTGTGTTCCCTGGCCTGACCAGGCTGATACCCTGCCCTGCCCTACACCATTGAGTGGGGGGTGGGGCAGGTGGTGGTGACGTGGGCTCTGCCTGTCAGTCTGACTCAGCCATCTTTCTGCTCCCTAGATGCGGAGACCACTGCTGTAGCCTGGCCCAACCTAGCCAAAGCATCTGTGACAGGTCGGAGCCGAGAGCTGGCAGCACCCAAGGGAGGATCTGAGTCAGAGGAGCCTGCCTCAGGCACCGGTATGGAGTGAGGCCCATGCTGCCTGCTATGACTAAATAGGGCCTGACTTGGGCTCTGGATCACCTGCCTACAGATGGCAGAGTAGGCACACACAGCACCATGACAGACCGGGCCAGAGACACTGAGCAGTGCTGGGGTTCCTGCATTTGAGAAGGAGCAGAGGCCCCGGGGGTCACAGTCTGGGACAAACCTACCAAACTCCTGAGTTCTGCTGCTAGCTAGCTCTGCTAGGGGATGAGGTCTAGTGAGTTAGAGTAGGGGAGGCTGGAAACCAAGACTCCTGGGAATCTCTGTTCCGCTTTGGGAAGGGGTGGGGTCTGGAGGCTGGGAGCTAGGGATCCCTGAACCGTGTTCACATTGAAGCTGCTGAGTCTCAGCTGGTTGTAGGGAACCAGACTCACCCCACCCTCTGGAGAGGAAAGAGACACAGGGCACTAATTTGCCTAAGACAAAGCTAAGGAGCAGGGAGCCTTTGTGTCTGTAGCATGCTGCCTGATCCAGGGGCAGAAAGGGGTGGAAAGGGGTTTGGGGGAGCCTACCATCTAATCAGCCCCTTGCTTCCTGTGCCCATCAGCACCATCCTGCCAGCATACACGCCTGGTTCTGGAGCGGGTGTGTGACGTCCTTCTGGGCATGCAGGAGAAACTCAATGAGCTGGACCGCGCAGCAGGGGATGGGGACTGCGGGAACACACATGCCAGAGCTGCCATAGGTCAGTGCCAAGGTCCAGGGACCAAAAACTCCCCTCTATCCCAGTCCAAAACAGCTGGGGTTGGAGGGAAGCCAAAACCTGAGGACAGGAAGCCAAGTGGGGGCTGGGGGGGGTGGCGGCTATGCTGTGCCTCTGACAGCCTGCAGGAAGCAGCCTTCCCCTACGAGTATAAAGAGGCCAGAAGGAGCCTCAGGGAAGCGCATGAATGTCCCCCACCACAATCACTGGTTCTGATCTGGCCTAATCTGGAATGGCCTGACCCTTTAGGAGTGGAGACGGGGTCTCCACAGCCACAACCCAGAGCTGGGACCCCTTGGCAGGGAGACCAATGGCCCTGCATGTCCTGGGAACTGATTTCCCCACTTACTCTGTGGGGGCCTGTGCAGTCCAGGACTGAGGCACTAAACCTGGGTGTGGGGAAGGGGAGCCTGCCTTGGTTTTGCCTGTGCTGAGTGTCTGGACTCCCATCTGCTTGTCCACTGTAATGTCACCTCCAGAAACCTGTTGTTTCAGCCCCATGAGGTAGGGATTTTCAGTGGCTTCTCCTCACCTACCTTGCCCAAAGAACAGAGGTCCTGGGGCAGGCACCTATTTTTCACTCCCCCCCCTCTCCCCACAGCTAAGCCAAGGCTGGCTCCACTTATGCCTTTGGTTACTAGAACATAAGAACACAGGACTGGAACTGGTCTCCTGGGTCATGGACTCCAGTCTCTGCATTTATCCCAGGATCCCCCAAATCACCACTTTGACCCCTGCTCTCTTCCTGTCCACATACAGACACAAATTAGAAGGGACAAACCCAAAACACCAGCAACACTTTACAACATGCCTCAGGGAGATGAGAGCACAGCCAGTAGCCTTGGACTGCAATGGCAGAAAACAATTTAGTTGAGATATGCTCAAAAAATCCTAGGAAGAGGATTGTGCCCTACAGTTCAGAGGAAGGCACCCACAGTCCATACCACAATATAATGCCCCCCCCC